TACGCCTACATCCCAAACAGTTCTGGTCTTTTGTTCGTACTAAACGCAAGGAAGATGGATTGCCTACGTTCATGTATTTCGGCGACCGATTTGCTAGCACAGCCTCTAGTAAATGTGAGAACACTTCAAGAATGTCTTCTCAAATACGCCTGCTACGCCACCGCAGATAGAGGCTGCTGTTCGTGATACGCCGCTAGACATCATCGACTTTGGAATTTTCCAGATCAGCGAGGAGCATGTCGAAAATGCATTACGTAAGCTCAAACATTCCGTGTCACCTGGTCCTGATGGGATTCCTTCATCTGTGTTGAAAAACTGCTCGAGTTCTCTGATTATACCGTTAGTAAAACTGTTCAATCTCTCGTTCCAACAGCTAAAATTTCCTGCTGGATGGAAAACTTCGTTTCTGTCACCGATTCACAAAAAGGGTGACAAATGTAACGTCGTCAACTACCGTGGAATAACGTCCTTGAGCGCTTGCTCTAAGGTTTTTGAAATAATTGTAAACAACGCTCTCTTTGAAGCCACCAAAAACTACATTTCGTACAGCATGGATTCTACCCGAAACGATCTGTTACTACTAACCTCACTCAGTTCACCTCACTCTGCATACGCTCTATGGACGCTGGTTCACAAGTGGACGCCGTATACACGGACTTCAAGGCTGCATTCGATCGTGTGAATCATGATATCCTGTTGCAAAAACTCGAGAAGCAGGGGGTATCTTCCGCGCTTGTTAGCTGGTTTAGATCATATCTGTCTGAAAGATCCGTGAGAGTAAGGATTGGTTCGTCACATTCGGAGCCGTTTATGATTCCTTCTGGCGTACCGCAAGGGAGTAATCTTGGATAGCTGCTTTTCTCATTATTCATAAATGACATTGCCTTTGTGTTGCCACGTGGACAGCGAATATTCTATGCCGACGATGTTAAGATCTTTATGATCATCATGTGCACTGAGGATTGCCTGGAGTTGCAGAGGTTATTAGATTTGTTCGAGGACTGGAGCAAGCAAAACCCACTCGATTTATGCATAGCCAAATGCAACACAATATAATTCAGCAGGAAGCGGCAACCAATCAATTTCAACTACAGCATGTGTGGACAAACTCTCGAGCGCTTGTTTCAGGTTTGGGATCTCGGTGTGATATTGGACCGCGAACTCACTTTCCGACCGCATTACGAAGACGTGATTGCAAAAGCCAAAAAAGGGTAATTTAATTGTTTTCTGTGACTTTAGTCAAGCTCAGAGAACATCAGGGCGGATCAATTAATTTCAATGAAATTGTTGAAATTATAAGGAAGTTCCGAGAAACTCAGGCAATTTCCGAAAATTCAGCAATCTCTTGAGGGGCTCATGCAAATTAAGGAAACGTTAGGGAAGTTACATGAACATTATAAAATTGTGAGAACTATGCTTTTTAATGTTAGTGTCGATAACTTTTAAAAATTAAAAAAAATAATCCGGAATATCAGTGAGCTTCAATGCTGACGTTACAATAAATTCAAGTGTTAGAGCGCTTAAGAGATTTCGTATTCTTCAATAAAGTCGAGAGACCTTCAAAGATGATTAGAGATATTCCGGTAGTCTCATTATAATCAGGGAAATTTCGAGAGCTTCGAGGATGACCACCCAAGTAACAATTTGGGTTTTATGAGGGTTCTGTGGACCACGATTTAGAGTCTATGCTTTTTAATGTTAGTGTCGATAACTTTTAAAAATTAAAAAAAATAATCCGGAATATCAGTGAGCTTCAATGCTGACGTTACAATAAATTCAAGTGTTAGAGCGCTTAAGAGATTTCGTATTCTTCAATAAAGTCGAGAGACCTTCAAAGATGATTAGAGATATTCCGGTAGTCTCATTATAATCAGGGAAATTTCGAGAGCTTCGAGGATGACCACCCAAGTAACAATTTGGGTTTTATGAGGGTTCTGTGGACCACGATTTAGAGTTGTAGTATGCTATAAAACCTCAATAAAACTTGCAATGCTACTTGGGCAGAGAACTCCAAAACAGTCCATAATTTCAGTAAAATTACAAGAACTTTTAAGGAATCTCGAGGAATTATGGAATATTCCTAAGTGCATTTCAGGAATGTTCCGAAAACTTCAGGGATGTTTTTTGAATTATGTCCTTGTTTCTTTTGACTTTTCCGAAAACGCTCTGGCTTCTGACTTTTTTCAGATGTTTCTTCCAATCTACCGTAGGAAGTTTATACCAGCGTCTCTAGGAAGTTTCTTTCGTTTTCTCCAGGAAGTTCAATTAATTCTCCCAGAAATTTCTTTCGTCTTCTTCTGGAAGTTTGACCATAAGCCAAAAGTTTTTTTGTTCGACTTCTATTGGAAGTTTTTTTTCCGAGCTTCTTCTGGCTTTCCCTGGAAATGGCTTTTTCTGGAAATTTACTTTCGATTTCCGAATCTTTTTTGGCTTCCTTTGGATGTGACATCCGATTTTTTTCCGATAGTTTATTTAAGTTTTCGCCACAAGTTTTTCTATTCGTATCTTGGAAGTTTTTTCTGGAATTTTCCGATCATAATTTAAAAGTTAAAATTTTCACTTTCAAAAACAGCAAAAATATAAAATTAATTAAAATAGTAAATACCGATAAATACCGACTTTTTAATACCTTCGATATCGATAAGCTTTAAAACAAGCTGGCAACGCTGCACTGTTGTACTCTAACGGAACTATAAACTCTATGCTTCCATCTCATCATCTATCATATAAAATGACCACTTTAAGTCTAAAATTTGACGTTAAGCATCTCCAACTATGTATCGTTAGTCCGAGGGGGGCGACACATCTAAATCTCAATTCTAGATGCTTATCAAATCTCCCACTAGCGAATCAATCTTCAAAAAATCTTCTTTCATTTGTCGCATCTACTTGCATCGCGCATCATCTTTTTGCATGAAATCTTCAGAATCGTCGTCAATCTTCTTTCTATCTACTCAGCGTGCGCGCAGCTAGCCACAGCAAAACACATTTTTTTCTGCATCGTAGATAGAGTCGCCCCCCTCGCGTTAGTCAAAACTATCAATGTTGCTTTAGATATTAGATTGGAACCCGGCAAGACATCGCAGCTGAAGCAGACCCAGTGGAGGAGTCTCAAAAAAAAAAAACTTGCAAGTTATCTGAAATTTGACCTGGGCCTTGGTTAAAGCAAAAACTAGCAGCCACCCACGATAGAAGTATTTCACGTTGGCCTTTTGCGCAGGATTCATGACTGAGTGGGAATTATTAAGCATTCGATTACCAGCTTAAGATGAACTATTAGTATTATTTGTCAATTACCTGCTTCAATTGAGCCAGGCACGTGTCGCTTTGAGAAGACCTATTCTCTTCGAATCAGTAGAACTAATTTCAACGGCAGACAAAAATGAGCATAATACGCCCCTTTTCGATGACGTAACACAGAGCATTAAGATATCATATACCTGCGGGATTAAAAAGTGTCTACCTCTAATAACATGAAGAATGGAAACACGCATCCAGTCTCTTTCCTCATACGAACAAACATAAACTTTAAATCAATACCCCCAGTTCCATCTGTTGGTGGAACGGTGAACCACAAGCAACTGGACCCCACCGGCAACGCATTCTTATCCCTTTCCCCCGTTTTATCCTTCACCAAGGATTGGAACGAAACGAACGAACGAACGTAAAAAAAACCCAGCCAATATAAACATAAGCGATGTTGTTTTTTTCTTCCCTCCAAAGGCCATTAATGCGCTCATTCAGAACAAACGCCCGCCGTCCGGCCGTCCAAGCATCGAGGAAGAATCAACTGAAACCAGAAAAGACCAACACGAAAACAGAACCCTAGTTGGAAACCCAAACCACACCATCAAAGGGAGTGATCAGTGGTGGCACGAGTCCTGGAGTTTAACATTTTTTCCATAACATTTGATACATTTTGCGATAACCATTGTGACGACACACAAAAACAAACTGGCAAGCGGCAAAAATGTCATGACATTTCTAAACTGTTTTCTGCCAGCGACAGAACATTTTCGCACAAAGAAGCAGACAAGACCGGCGGCGCGCGCGACATAAATTTATGTCGTGTAGAATTTTGCTGATTTCTGGCTAATTACTGCATTTATTTGATGTTTATAGCATGGAATTAAAAGATAAGAATGAAGACTAACCACTCATAAGCATTGATGTTAAAATTATGCGTAAATAAGGGAGTTGGTAATTTACTGTCACACGCAAGCCTGCAGCTAAAATTTCATTACAATAAACTGTTTGGAAAAATCAGACTGCGAGATTTTATTTATTCTCTATCTCCGCTGTTCGCTTGGAATGTAGTTATAGACGGTCGCCCGTGTGCTGGCTGTTTTGTTTCGCTCTGGACGATAGTTTTTCAAAAAATGTACTGTTGCCACCTCTGGGAGTGATGCAGAGAGGGAGGGACACGCCATGGCACGTACCTGGAGATATGCAACTACCTGTTGAACTTTTTTTTTTTATTATGATTCGTTGAAACGTTGCTCTATGATTGTATGATTTATTCTTTTTTGAACCATGATTTTTTAACGAATAAATTTTGATTTTAGATTCTAATTTTGAACCGAAAAGATTCGAAATTTTTGGAAAGCTCCATGACGTTTCCCTCTTGTGCCAGCATAGAGCACATATCCATCCCCACTCCAACAAGGCAGCTAGGACATTGATTCAGGACCTCAGCAATCCCACCCTACCACACCACCACCGAGGACATCAACACGACAGTCAGTGGTGGCAGCCTGTTGCTCCGATCCGATTCTTCCTCTTCTCGCCATCTCTCTCACTCTCTGCCACTCTCGAATTTCTTCACACCTTATCTCTCGCTCTCCCGTGCACTGTCTGTCCGATAGCTCGTGTGCACGCCTGGCCGAACATTCCGCACTCGGCTTCCCTTCGGATTCTCGCACTACACGAACGAACGCACATCGGCCGGTGCGAAACAAGTGCAAAGAACGGCAGAAGACAGACTGGCAGGCACGGCACAGAGTCGATCCACCGCAGCAGCGACCGAGCCCGGTCAGAATCGTTTCAACACTCGCCGGAGCAACACAGGAAAAATCGGTTTGCTCGCTATCATAGTCGGAGTTTCGTTCTCCAAAGATTTTGTACTACGAGACTTGTATTTTTTTTATTCTTCGCTGTCGTGTTCGGCAAATCGGTTTCCGGCTCGATTTCGGAAGTGCCGTCGTGATTGATTCGTTCCGGATCGGAGAGGAAAACAGTGAAAGTGTTTTGATTGGATTGCAACGTAAACAAGAAACTGGGAAGATGATTTAAAATAAAGGATATGAGAATTTAGTGAATAATTGTGCCTTTCATGAATGATAAGGGAAGGTTGTGAAACGGAATAATTTTTTTTGACACAAATGGATTCAAGTGTATTTTGAGTGAAGAGAGAATCGCTGAAAAAAATTAATCGGAGAAAACATTGAAGCTGACGGTGTGAATTCAGCTCCCACTGTGGATACTCTGCTAAAGTACAAGTTCAAAACAATGGTTACCGGAATTGGAACCGCAGCGCAGCAAGTTGGCGCAATGTCGACCACCTCGCAAATTTCACCGGCCGAGCAACCGGTGGTGAAACGTCCCAGCGACAACCGAAGAGTAAGTATCTAGCCTGAATGATCGCCCTCCAAAAGTCCGTACCACGCGAGATAAATAATCAAATTAAATTTGTTTGACTTCTCGAGAAGACAATCGAACAGAATGAATAAAAAAAATAAAAGGAGAAAGAGTATCGTGTAACCTAAGCCGTCCCACACGTCTTCAATGTCCGCTGCTAATCCGCCAGGTTTTCGCGTACGTGGGAATTTCGCGTTGTGAAAAAATTTGCAAACTCCGAAAGCACGTTCCACCGCAGCTGATGAGTCGTCGTCGGTGGTGGCGGTGGTGGTCCAGATATGGAACGTACGGCGCGTGTGGGATTCCCACAAAACTGGCACGATAGAAAATTAAGTATGACATGCTCAGTTCAGTTCCTCCAACCTCCGCCGCTGCAAATCCGGGAGTTGATGTTCATAAATTAACACTTTTTAAGAAAACGCTAACAGACCGTGGCTGGGTCCCCACTGAGCAAAGTGGATCATATTTTTAGATTTATCGTTGTTTGTTGGTACGGTTGTTCGGTTTTCGTTGCTAAACCAAGACATTGTTGATTTGTGAGTGGGACTAAAGTTTGCCTCTTTTTTCTATCTCTTTTCCAGAGCAATAAACCGATCATGGAAAAACGTCGTCGAGCTCGCATCAACAACTGTCTGAACGAGCTGAAGACACTGATCCTGGATGCCATGAAAAAAGACGTAAGTGTCAGTTCCTCTACGGTTCTGAGGGGAATCTACTCCTAGATTGACACATCACTAATTGAAAATTTCTTCTTCTCTATCTCTGATAAATACAGCCGGCTCGTCACTCCAAACTGGAGAAAGCAGACATCCTGGAAATGACCGTCAAGCATTTGGAAAACCTGCAGCGGCAACAGAATGCCATGTCGCAGGCAACCGATCCGAATGTGATGAACAAATTCAAAGCCGGGTTCAACGAGTGTGCCCAGGAGGTCAGTAGGTTCCCGGACATAGATCCGATGACTCGTCGGCGACTGCTCGCCCACCTGAGCAACTGCATCAACGGGGTCAAAACCGATCTTCCGAAAGCTCGCCAATCGGCAGTGCAAGTACACATCCTCCCATCGCCACCAAGTTCTCCGGAACAGGATCATCACCCGCAACCTCATCCAGCACAGATCAATGCTGTGCAAACAGGCAACGGAGTGTATTTCACCAACAGCATCGGGTCAAGTGTTCAACTGATTCCCACCAAACTCCCTAATGGAAGCCTTGCCTTTGTGCTTCCACAAGCCATCCCTGCGGCAAACGCTCCGGTCCCAATGCTGGTGCCCATCCCAAGTCGCACCGCATCAACTGGTTCAGCCGCTTCCAGCCATTCATCGTCTTCCGCGTATGACCGAGTCTCTCAACACGCCACCTCGCCCTACCACGCTCCACCAAGTCCTGCCAACTCCCACTACGAGCCAATGGACTGCAAACCCTCGGTCTTCCAAGATCAACAGCAATACCTCCACTCGCAGCAGATGCGTTACCAGCAGCAACCTCAGCAGCAATCACGATCCTACAGCCCCGACAGTCCGCTGTCCCTGGTCATGAAGAAACCCTACCAGGACCAAAACCAAGACGATGACAAACCGTGGCGACCGTGGTAATCCAACGCCCGTGTCATCCACACATCGAGTCATAAAACAATTAGTACCTTAGCACCCCACCAGTCGCGGCAGCCGGAAGTATACACAAATCGCTCGCTCGTGTACACGAGCCGCAGTAAACCGACCTGAAGCAGCTCTCGCACCGTCGTTGAGCACACACAATGTAGTGCCTGCCCTTCCGATTCGCCGCCCGTCGACCGTCGCCAATTCGCGTAAATCACCGAGTGCACTGAAATAAATAGTTTGAATAGCATCTCACTCGCCACCATCGTCGTCTTCACCCTCACCAACTAGAAACAATGTAGACATCGGAGAAGCCGTGGTGAGTGAACGTGCGAGCAACGAGCAGAAGCGCAACGTCAAAGGGTCACGAGTGTCGCGCTTGCTTGCTTTCCCACACTCATTACACGGCCCCCAGCAATAGTCATTCTCGTGCAAAAGTCTGCGTGTGTGTGTGTGTGTGTATGTGAACATGGCCCAAGACAGTTCGGTGAAGATCGTGCCAATAGAATATAGTGAGTGATCGCACGCGGAGGCGGAGAAACACGGGCAAACGGCAGCGCAACAATATTGTAAACTCGCTACAAAGTGTGTGATTGAAGCGCGCAAAAGGAGTGAACCCAACGTCGCTGCTGCTCGAAATTCAAATGGCATGTGAAGAAGACAAAAACCACCGCCGTCGACGCCGTTGAGCGTGGAGAACAAGACAAAGAAGATTGCGGCACGAGGCAAAATTTATTTTTACTTTCGGGAGAATAAATTTTTATCACTCTCGTCTCGAAGTGTAGAAGCGGTGACGCGGCGAACGTGCGCGTGTTTGAACGAAGAATGCGATACTGGTCTCTTTCGCAACGTGCCCACTTTGACCATTCAACGTACGGCGCTCGTAACGAAACGCCCTGATCGGGATCGGCACAGGTCGGGCTAGTCATCCATGTCCCGCGAGAGGATTCAGCGCCTGGTGGTGGTTGCAATATCTCACAAAATACAAACGAAACAACAAAGTATAAATGAAACCCGCACAAACTCTGCTGAGGAGAATGGTGGAAACCCTGTTGCTGTGAATAATTTGTAAGGCTTTTTAGTGTGATAAGCAGAGAGTTAGAGTTACAGAGAAGAAAAAAAAAACAACACAAAACAAACCTTAGGATCAAGGAGTTCAAAACTTTGCTAGACAAATGGAAGTAAATCCCACGTTTACAGTAATCACACAATAACTATCCTACTGGTAGCAGTAGTCAGCGTTTGTGTGAGTGTGTGTTGGTTAGAAAGTCAAAGTGGCGAGGACCGCGAACAATCATGTGATTAGCTTCTTGAAGTTTTATTTTAAGATCGCCCCAATCCATCTTTCGTGCATCCACCATCCTCTTTCCTGTCCATTCATCTCATTTTGATGCCAATAAATTCTTGTAAATATTTTCATTTCGTTTTGGTTCACCACGAACAAGCGAGCGCGACAAAAATCACAAAAGTCTTCCATTAGAGCAAGTTGTGAGAACGCCAATCAGGGATTCCTAGTTCTTGATTAGGATAGTGACGGTAGGTTCGCCACCGGCCAAAGGTCATTACTGATCTTTCCGTTAGATTTTATTTTATTTTCCAGCGTGATTCGTTCGCGGTTGTGAGAGGAGAAAAATAAGTGAGAAAAGCGAATAAATTATTCATCAGAGTGTGTAAATATAGCTTTCCTTTACACTGTTAAGTTCCAATTCTAGAGCCGATAGGAAAACAAAGCGATAGGCATTATTATTTATACGGAGCAAATGCGTCAATAACAAATTAGAGAGTACGGCCCCAACCATTTGGAAGCAATTTTAGCAGAATGAAAGAAGCAATCGAAAACAATTGACTTTAGTGATTAGCGTTGATGGGGGAATTGATTCTCCTGTCGAATTAAGATATGTATGATACAAAGAGAATATGCTTGTGGCAACACAACACAGATTAAATATTTTAATGAAATAGAGAAAAGATGAAAATGGAAAACTATGGAAAATATAAAATATTTTTGAAATTAAAATAACGCTAAACTCTACTTTCCTAAAAATCCGAAAAATTCCTTGATTAATAAAACCGTTTTTTGTATGCTACTTAAACAAAAATCTTCGATCGATTAGATGTGCGCACCATGAGAAATGCGTCCTGAATCATGTGTTTGTTGGTAACTAGGTAAGTATCATTAATCCAAATTAGGAATTCCTAAAAAAAAAAATACAAATAATAATGATTTTTAATTTTTTATTATAAAGCAATGTCAAGAAACTGAAATTCAATGTTCCTGTAATTCGTTAAATTTTCAAAATCTCGGAACTTTGTTAATTTTTCTATTTTTTGCTGAAACAATTCAGTGGTTCACTAATTGGTGCAACTTGAACCGAATAGAGGTGATTCCTGCGAAGTGTTATGTAATATCGCATATATTAAGGAGGGTATTGTTTCTCGCTCTAATTCAATTGAGCAAATGCACGCCTATTTTATTTTAGTCAAGATTAATAAATAACGTAGCATTAAAGGGTGACCAGTCATGTAGAAAAATTTCGCTAAGGGGGAGGGGGTCAAATATGGTGCTTCATCAAATTAAAACAAACGTTTGTTGACGTGTCGTGAAGCACCAACTCTGAACCCTTGTAGTGTAATTTTCTACAAGTTGGTGCCAATTATCCTTTTCAACTTAATAGACCGAAAAGAATCCTCGATAGGACACCACTGCGGCAGATTTGTCGTATTCCGGCCTTTTGTTGGTCAAATGGTCCACTGTGTACTTTTTCACGATCTTCGTTCACTTGAAATACTTGCACAAAGCAGTTCTTTCTGTTCGACGGCATGCTGAACACGACTGAACATGTTAGAGTGAAATAAAGTGTATGACAAATTTCTGGAGGATGTAAGGATTCATTCACCATTGGCGTAGCTAATGGGATGCCAAGAGGGCCAGGCTCCCTCCAGAATTATCTAGCTCCCCCCCAGAATGTTTGGTGTTTATTGACGTAGGACTACGTCTTTGATTTCTATATGGGGGTACACTTTGTGAAAACCGAAAATGGAACATGTAACAAATTAAGAAAGATTTTGAACGTTAATAACTCAGCTGTCCCTGGCCCAATTTCAATAATTTTATCACCAATCGATCAGAAATATGGCTACGCATCGATAACAATGCTTCCAAATGTTGATTTTCAACAAGAAACCATTGAATAACTGGTAAATTTCCAGCATTGTCCAAAAGCGTTGAATTAACTAACAAATCCATCAATTACCTACATGCATATGCTGCTTCCCCAGCACAGTCGTCAGAGAGTAGTAAGTAGACGAAACAAGTCGAAGTGGCATTTGCCCCCGATTCTCGGGCGCGTGCGAATAGGAAGGATGAAATTGCGTAATATTTTACACACTCATCGCCATACTCAGAACCACACGCTCCCAACGACCACACCACTGCACAGTGGGCAACACATGACAAAACCGCGACTAAATTGAATATCTCGGCTGCCAAACGGTTTCAGTCAACATGTTATACATATTCTCAAAGGAAAAACTCTCCTGAATCGATTGGTGGTGGTCGGAGACTTTTGCGTACCGAGATAGAGGGCCGGGATCAACCCGAGTTCCCGGTAATGTAGGAAATGCCACTATCTATCGACATAATTTTAGACTTTACTTAACGTATATTACTGGAAATTGATAGTACTAAGTATATATGCTGTAAAGACACCATATACGCCCTCAGGAAAACTCTACTGGCCTAAAGGAGGATCCGGAACGACCGATAAAGTGGCCACATTATAAAAAATGTCCTAGAACCTTGCGATTTTTCCTATGTTGTTCAGAATCAAGAGATCATAGTGTATTTAATGTGGAAACTATATTTTGGGGTATTGTGGCCATATTCTGGTTCTCCGGATAATCGGGATTGACCGATAAAGTGACCACGTTATAAAACATGTCCTACATGCTTGCGGTTTATTCTATATTGTTCAGAATCAAGAGATCAATGCGTATTTAACTTGGAATACATATTTTGGAGTATGGTGGCAATATCCTGATTTTCCGGATAATCTTGGTTAGTCACATTATTAAAAATGTGCTAAAACCTTGCGATTTTTTCAATGTTGTTCAGAATCAAGAGATCAAAGCAAATTTAATAAAGAATTTAAATTTTGGGGTAAAGTGGCCATATCCTCCGGAAAATCTGGATTTATCGTAGAAGTTGTCATAACGTGTAAACAGTCCTGCAAAACTACGATCTTTTTTCTTAACAATCTTGTTCATATTCAAATAATTAAAACTATTTTTATTTAAAATAAATCCCTAGTTTCCCACTTCTGGCAGGCGCTTTAAAAAAATTGGTACTTTAAATCGAAAAATTGTACACATTTAAAGTTCTGTGAAGAAGGCTTCAGCTCAGCTTCAGAGAACAAAATTATATCTGCTATTATATCGATCGGCACTGTAAACTCTCCTAAAAACCCGCAGTTTTTGTATACAAATTCAACCAACCAAACTCAAAACCATACCGATATAACTTGAATAGTTGATGTACCAGCAATCAACATTTCAGAAATGTTGAAGCCGTCCTGAAAAGTTACAGCTCATAGCTCATCAAATTTTTTTGAAGAGAAAAAAAATCACGAGTTTCTAGTATCTGTCACACCTCAAATTGTCAGTAAATTTTAAGAGAGCTATTTATATGAATTTATTCAAGGTATCATCAAATTTATGAAACACGAATTCGGCATGAAACATCTAATATCTTGGCCGGATATGATTTCATATCGCAATTCTATCATTCCACCATTTTCTTCACCGAATTGGGCAGACGGTTATCTGTCGACCTCCGTTTCCGTTCGGGATTTAATAAAGAACGATGTCGAACGGGTCCTCGAACTGGATGACGTAAGATCCAAGATATTTGAACTCTGTGCCGACAACAGAAACGTACCGATTGATTGTGTGGTCAGGATTGCCGAAGGCCCTGACTCAGCGACTGGATTTAGCCACTACAATCAATCCAATATTCTTGGTAACGACGATTCGCTGCTTTCAGAAAATAATATGCTATTGCAACTGCTGAAGAAAACCGGTGAAACGATTTATCAGAATCCGAACCCGCAATCGGATTATTTCTGCCGCCCCCGCTCTCTATGCTGGACAAAAGAAACGGATGTCATAACCCGGAAAATGTTAGATGCATTTTTTTACGAGATAGATCAAATCAAGGATGGTTACGGTTAAGGTGGTGGTTACGGTTAAGAATTTTGAGCTTCACATTACAGTGCAAGCCGTTTATTCGATGATCGACGGAAAAGTTGCAAATGCTATAGTTGGCAATAAAAATACGCATGCATGTCCAGTGTGCTTGGACACTACGAGCGGAAAAATTGGACCTTCTTTCTTCCTTGCCCGTTTGAATTCCGTTGAGTGGGCCATCTGCTCAGCAGCCAAAAAATCAGTACCAGGACATCCTGCCCTCACTCACCCGCAAGTGAAGTTGGAAGCCAGACGAATTGCAGACTGCCTTGAACAACATTTCAAAGTACAGGTTAACCGTCCGAAACCAGGAGGAAGTGGTAGTTCCAATAATGGCAAACTTGCCCGCCGTTTGCTTTCAGAGCCTGACATATTTGCCGATATTTTGAATGTTAGTAGGAATATGATGCAAAATTTGAGACTTATCAGCAATTTGGCGCTTTCGTCATGGAAGCTGAATGCTGAAAAGGTGGAGTTGCTTTACGAACGATTGGAAAAAAAGTATTTTGGAGGAGTTCCCGTTCATTAAAGCATTGCCACCTTCTTTGCACAAATACAAACATTTAGCAGATTATATCGATCAATTGGTAAGGTAAACTACCTAATTTATAGCTTAACTAATTTAATTTGCTAATGATTAGCAAACTAATCATTTATTATTTTTCAGCCATACACTATGAATTTTGTGGATGAGCAGGCTGGAGAGCGAATGCACAAGCGCCATAAATTTTGCAGGCCAAACCTTGCTAGAAAAATGTCTCCCGAGGCAAATTTATCAGATATGATGGCAACGGCATTAGCATGGTCCGATCCGAAGCTATCGTATCTAACATACCACAATGAAGGTTTGAAAGTAGCATTTGGTAGTAAGGATGTGAAATACATGGAGGAAGTGGCACAATATTATATAGATAGCGGTGTAGAAGATGAAGGGGAAATGAATGGCGAGCAAGATTGCGACGACATGGAATACGACAGCGCGAGTTTGTGTGATTCTGATATTTACAGTGACGGAGAAGACAAGGAATGAATATCGTTTTTTTTAAAGGCCCGGACAGGCCACAATACCTCAAATTGAAATTGTTTTCCCAACTTTTGCGGTAGACAAATGCTGAACAGTTTAGATTATAAGACCTACTTGATCGGTCAACCCGGATTATTCGGAAAACCAGGATATAGTCATTTGATCCTAAACTATAAATTCCATAGTAAATACGCATTCATCTCGTGATTCTGAACAAACAACAGTTCTAGAACAATGAATATAATGTGACTACTTTATCGGTCAATCCAGATTAACCGGAGAACCAGAATTAGGCCACTACACCCCAAAATATAGTTTCCATATTAAATACGCTTCGATCTCTTGATTCTGAACAACATAGAAAAAAATACAAGGTTCTAGGACATTTTTTATAATGTGGCCACTTTATCGGTCGTTCCGGATCCTCCTTTAGGCCAGTAGAGTTTTCCTGAGGGCGTATATGGTGTCTTTACAGCATATATACTTAGTACTATCAATTTCCATTAATATACGTTAAGTAAAGTCTAAAATTATGTCGATAGATAGTGGCATTTCCTACATTACCGGTAACTCGGGTTGATCCCGGCCCTCTATCTCGGTACGCAAAAGTCTCCAGCCAATGAGGCTACCACCAATCGATTCAGGAGAGTTTTTCCATTGAAATATGTATAACATGTTGACTGAAACCATTTGGCAGCCGAGATATTCAATTTAGTCGTGATTTTGTCGCTTTTTGCCCAGTGTGCACACTG